TTTATTTATTTGTCAGAGAGAGAGAGAGAGCACAAGCAGGGGGAGCAGCAGAGGGAGAGGGAGAAGCAGGCTCCTCGCTGAGCAAGGAGCCTGATGTGGGACTCCATCCCAGGACCCAGGGATCATGACCTGAGCCGAAGGCAGATGCTTAACGACTGAGCCACCCAGGCGTCCCACAATCACACATTTTAAATTCAAACAGGTGACCAAAGGTGAAGCATTCAGAATGATCTGATTACAACAAATCTGGTTAACTGAAAACAAAGACTTCTCCATAAAAAATACATAGTTTCCTATGCATTCCTGTAAAATAGAACTAGATCTACAAAGTAATCTGAGTAACAGGTTGTAACTAGGGCAGTGTGACAAAAGTAAAAGGAAATGGCTTAATTCTTATAGATACATTAGATTTGATGGTGCTTCATAATCTGTTTACAAAAATAAAAAACCCATATGTTGTCTTGATTTGTAGGTTTCCTTCCCATGTCAGTAAAATGAAGAGCTTTTCCTTACATTTTTCATACAGGTAAATCTCGTAGCGTTAACCTTTAGGAAGGTTATTGCAAACTGGCCTCTTTCCATGGGCAGACAGCGACTCCTCATTTAATACAAGGTTGCTCGACAGTGACATTTACAGCTCCATTATTATTCATCAACCTCCAGAATGCTCGGTAAGATTGTCAGGTTCCAACCAAGTAATTCCCCAGCAAATATCCTCTCATGTGTTTTGGAATTTTCCTTTGCATCTCAACATCTCCAGGTAACAGCTCCGTTACACCACTGAGAGCCAGTGTTCCTGCAGGGAACCAATATTTTGAAAACTAAGCATTTTCACAGAATGGTAGTTGAAGATTTTCAGTACTAGAACCCTGCCTCTTTCACTAATCTGGTTTGCACACAGCTCCACCTGGGCAGAGTACCGCTCAATCTCAGACAAGGTCGGGGACTGCCCCCCCCCCTTTTTTTTAAAGATTTTATTTATTTATTTGACAGAGAGACACAGCGAGAGAGGGAACACAAGCAGGGGGAGTGGGAGAGAGAGAGAAGCAGGCTCCCTGCAGAGCAGGGAGCCCAATGTGGGGCTTGGGGCTCGATCCCAGGACCCTGGGATCATGACCTGAGCCGAAGGCAGACGCTTAACGACTGACTGACCCACCCGGGTACCCCGGGGACTGCCCATTTTCAAATAATCTTTTGATCTACCACCAGGGTTGTGCCTCCCAAGTCCAGACGTAAAAAAGTCAAAGAGGGCTTCTTGATGTCTTCATACCTCATAGTTATATTTATCCTAGAAGCCACCTCTATAAATGTACAATTACAAGTAGAGGCTTTAACCAAGCATACAACAGCCCTCTTGGTAGGAGCCTCAAATCTCACGATGGGACAATCCCTGTCTGTAATGACTCCACATCAGGTCCAGAATGTCTTAGAGACCAAAGGCCACCAATAGATGATAGGAGGCTGACTCATTAAACACCAGGCGATGCTTACAGATGTGCCTAAAATAATACTTGAAACCTGTCAGACTTTAAACACAGCTACCCTTATGCCTGGACCTGACCATTGTACTTCTATGAGCATAACTGCTCAGAGGTTATTGAGTTGACCAGATTTAAGATGCCCCTATTAAAATTGCAAATGATAGCGGTTTACTGATGACAATAGTTTCATGGAAAAGGTAGTAAGAAAAACTGGGTATGCTATAGTCAGTCTAACTCAAGACTGTTGAGGCCAAAGCCCTGTCAGCAAACATGTCTGCCCCCAAAGCAGAATCAGTAGCCCCCACCTGTGCTTTGCTATTGGCAAAAGCCTTAAAAATATTTATACTCCAAATATGTCTTTCTAGTCTTATATGCCCTTGGAGCAATTTAAAGGAAAGGGGATTATTATCAAGCCATAATTCCCCAATCAAATATGGGCCTAAAATTATTACAAATTCAAAGGATGGCCCTCCAAAACCAAATAACCCTTAATGTCCTGACTGCAGTTCAAGGAGGCCCAGTATTAAACGGCTGGCTCCTGGCTGGGACCCAGTGGCTATGCAGCTCTAACCTGTGGCCATGGCTTCCCCCAGACTGGATAGGCCGCTGTACTCTGGGTTTTGCCTGGATGCATGGATGCATTATTAAAACCTTTACCAACCCAGCTAACCTTTGAAATTTAAAACCATGGTGGACATGTTCTGTGTCTCATTGGTATAGCCACCTAGCATCCATCCTTTTTACCTCTTTGAGACTGGAGAATGTTGTTTGACCTCGGAAGCTAAGCAGGGTCGGGCCTGGTTAGTACTTGGATGGGAGACACATGGAAACTCCTAAGTACATGGTCAAAGCCCTAAATGCTGCCCAAAACAGTAGTTCTCTACTAAAAACTGAAATGACTCAAATGCAGAAAGCAGTTCTATACAATAGAATGACATCAGATGTTTTAACGGCTGCACGAGGTGGAATGTGTGCTATTACAAAGACAGAATGCTGTGTGTACAGTCCCGCTTACCATAAAAGACTTCTGGGTTTCTACCTGACATGAATACTTTAGGGATTGCTTTAAACTCCTGGACTGGAAGAAAATTATCAAAGGTCAATATCAAAGATCTTTCATTCCGATTTCTTTCTCATTATAATATTAGCCTTATTTTGTTGTCATTTCTGGTGTCTCCCTGCCTAGTGTCAAGGCGCCTTCACTGCCAGAACTTCCAGCCAACCGATGATCTTTTCTACTCAAGGAGGTTCGCATACGTTGACGGCGCTGGATTCAGCTGCCTCCCCCTTTTGTAACTCCCCTACACATTCCCCAACTCACCAATATTGACCCATAGGAAGGGACCTCTTTACGCCCCTATTCAGCAGGAAGACGTTACAGAAGATAAGACCTTCCACCTTCAACAACCTTCAAGATTTAAGGGTCAAAATTGCTCGGGGGGAAATGATGAGGGAACAGAAGGCAAGCTGAGGACAAAGGAGAAGCTGACACCCCACAACCCCCCCACCCCCATAGGATATATGTGACATTCCTCAGGCACTCCTGGCTGCCCTAAAGCTAAGGAAAAGAAAAACAAATAGTAAGACCTGAGTCTCCCTCAGTTTACTTACAAAAGCCTTAGCAATAGCTTCCAGAAGGGAATGTAAACACAATTAAATGTCTTTATAACCTGCAGCCCATCGACAGATACTTGAAGTGGGCAGAGTGTAATGTTCCTCCAGGAAGTTCCCAACTATCTTAATGTTAATGCCTTACTAGAGGGGTAAACAACCTTAACTTGACAATGGCAAGGCGTCTGGTATCTAGTAGGTCCTCTTTAGCATATGAAAGTTCTTGGAAGCCTCCCTTTTTCCTTACCTTCCCCCAACTTCATAGTATATAATCAGCCACCGCTCACAACTCCGGGGCCGTGGCTCTTTCTGCCCTTGGGTCCTGTCCCTGTGCTTTAATAAACCACCGTTTTGCACCAAAGATGTCTCAAGAATTCTTTCTTAGTTGTCGGCTCCAGACATCACGCCACTGAACCTCACCTATATTCCAAAACCTCACCAACATGACGGAGGCAGAAAGCTGTTTCCAATATTGTGGTAAATACAAGCACAACGAGAAGAAATCTTCCTGGAAGAGGCTGACGTAAGACCATTAGAGAGCGCCCACTTGCCCCTGGTCAGGTATCGCTGGGCCTGGCCATGCAGCGCTGGGGGGTTGCCGGGGCCCTCCTACCTGGGCTCGATGGCCTTTCCCATCCCACCCCAAGGTACACACCCCTTCTTGGTTGCCTCCGTAGTTTCTCTTCCTCCGCCTGCCTTTTAAGTTGGTGTTTCTTGATGTAGTTTTGGAATGTAAGTGAGGTCCGGAGAGGATGGCCAAGAAAGAATTCTTGAGATGTCTTTTGTGCAAAAAGGTGGATTTATTAAAGCACAGGGACAGGACCTGTGGGCAGAAAAGAGCTGCTGCCGTGGGATTCTGAGAAGGAACTGATTATATACTTTGGGGTTGGGGGAAGTAAAGATCAGGGAAGTTTCAAAAGGATTTTCCTATGCTAAAGACTCACAGGAAACCTGAGGCCTGGCTATTCTCAAACCAAGGTTGATCTTCCCTCTAGCGAGGCATTAACGTTTAGACCGTTGGGAGCTTCCTGAAGGAACGTTATACTCTGCCTGCCTCAAGTTTTTGTCAATGGGCTGCAGGTTATAAGGACATTGAATTTTATCTACATTAAAATTAGGAAGTTAGGTTATTGATAAGAACGCTTTTTTTCTTGTAAATCACTAAGACATTTGTAAACTGAGGGAGACTCCTGTCTTAATAGGGCTAATCTCTAAATTGACCATTTGTTTTTCCTTCCCTTCGCTTTAGGGCAGCCAGGAGTGCCTGAGGAATGTCACACAGATCCCACCTTGCGGGGGGGGGGCAGTTTGTGGGGGTTGCGGGGTATCAGCTTGTGTTTTGTCCTCAGCTTGCCTTCTGCTCCCTCAACATTTCCCATAGTTGTGAGTCAGGATTCTACCCAGACCCCTCTCTGGCAGAACAAGCCTTTTATTTTCCCCTGACAAAATAAGTATATGTAACATATATGAAAGCTATGAATCAAAAGGAATCCTCACAAATCCCCTTAAAAAACACAACATTACGCTACTGAGTTCCCCTCCAGAGAGAACCAGTATTATGAATCCCCCTCCCATGGCCTTTTCCTTAGATTTGCCACGTCCTCGTTGCCCCAACTGGCAGCAGGAAAGCAAGCGGAGACAGCTGGGCCTCCGCTTCGGCTCCCGAGCGCTGAGAAGTTTCCCCCCGCCGCCACTGACGCCGCCACCCACCAGTACGTGAAATCAAAGCCCTTCCCGCCGCCGTTAACGGCCCAGCTAGAAGCTGGCAACATGGCGCCGGCCCGCCCTTTCGACCTCCCCCCTTACACCCCCGGCTTGTGGGAGGCCGCGCAAGCGCAATGGCGACGGGAGGGGTGGTGCAAGCCAGGGGCGTGGCCCAGGCCAGTGGCGTCATCGGGAGGCGCCTGTAGGGTGAACGTGACTGAGGCTTTAAGAAAGACTAGTCGGCGCGGGGATGGCCGCGGCGGGCAGCATGGGTGTCGCGGCCCTCTTCTTGCGCAGGGCGGTAGCGGCGCGTGCCTCCCGGGCTCTGGTGGCTTTCGCCACGAGCCGGCGCCTGCTGCGCACTAGTCCGCCGAGCCGAGCTTTCGCCAAGGAGCTCTTCCTGGGCAAAATCGAGAAGGTAACGCCGAGCGCTGGCCGACCCTCGCTCTTGCCTCCCGCGTTTTGCCATTTAGCAAGGAAAGGGGTCGAAGTGAGAGTCCCCACACCTGGCTGACAAGTACGCCCGCCAGGCGGGGGGTGTGCTAAAACTCCCAAGTTCCTGAGTCCCACTAGAATCTTTCCAGGGAAAGGGAAGGGTCCTTTACGGGGCCCGGACACTCGGTCTACAGTTCTGACAGCTAATTCTTGTTAGGTCAGTTTGGGAAGCCCTAGGCGAGGCGGTCCCTGGGCAACCCTCAACTCGGCGTTCTGCCCCGGAAATGTGCGGGGCTTCCTCTCTTGTTTCCTGAACAGCTCAGACTGTGACCGTAGCGCCCTCTGTCCGTTTCCAGCGGCTCCTTCGCTTTCACAGCTTGAGTTCCAGCGCCTCACCTTGCCTCAGCAGGCAGGCTCCAAGGTGCCTTCCACACCCGGTCCCTTCCGTAGGTGGTAGAACCCAGTAGTAACCTAGCTGTCACTCAGTAGGCGGCACTCATCGAGCACTCGTCATCCTCTTGTTAATGGATTTGACCTTGGTTCTGTGACTTTCAGCCTCCGTGCTTTCAGCCTTAAAATGAAGCTAGTTATATGTACTGCCTCACAGATGTGTTGTAAAATGAGATTCGTAGTGCGCGGAAATGCTTTTTAAACTGTCAGGTACCGTGTCGGTGCAAGAGGCAGCGGAATAGGTAATGTTTGCCCGCTTCACCGCTTGGTAGTCTGTGACCTTGAGTTACTCATTTCACTTTCCTGTGCCTGAGTTTACTAATCTACAAAATAGTAAAAGTGGTACTTGCCCTCCCCTAAAAGTGCCGTGGAAAGCAAAGAAAAAAAAATGTGTTTAAAATGTTTTGAGGTAGGCTGAAATGTTGGATGGTACTGTGTTGTTTAAGGAGTTATTCTCTGGCTTTTCTTAGACTGTTCCTCTAATCAGTCAGGCGATACAGGTGCAGAAGTTGAAACGCAGAGTGGCTTGCCCTGCTAGGAAGTGCAAAGCCCGTTTTTAACGTTTGAGAAACCATTTTTCCCAGAACCTGGGGCTCTTGGGGCACTCGGTCCTGGAACGTCCATCATGCCTTGCAGGACACTGGTGAAAAAACAAATCTTTCATGCTTCTTTTTCTCCAAGCTTCATGTACCACCTCCCCCATCCTCACTTACCCATCAGCTTGGCTTCTTGTTTCACTGAGGAAGTACATGCAGTCAAAGGAGAACCTCCACCACGGAATTTACCCCTCCTCCCCACATGTGTGCCCCTAGGGTCTACACTCGATTACTATGGATGAACTATCTACTCTTAGCAAAAACCAGCCTGATCACTAGACCCCATGCCTTCTCACCTACTCAAGGGCATTGATCCAGTAATTCTCTCCTTTCTCATCTACATCAGTGATTGTTCCCTCTCTGCTGCATCTTGAACTCAGACCATTCCAGCTTTTGTCCTTAACAATCTGCTAAAGCTGCTCTCTTGTGAGGTCAGTTAGTGGTCTGTTCTCATCTTCCTTGACACAGTTCATCATTCCTGGCTTCTAAAAAACCATTCTCTCCTGGCTTTTCTGTTGACTTCATTGGCTGATCCTTCTCAGTCTCCTATGCTGGTTCTTTCTTGGCTCCTTAACCTCTAAACGTTGCCCAGTCTTTCTGATTAGCCCAGTCAGAGTTAGGAATTTTCCTTTTTTTTTACATTGTTTTTAATTTTTAATTCCAGTGTAGTTAGCATACAGTGGTACATTAGTTTGAGGTGTACAATATAGTTATTCAACAATTCTAATCATTACTCAGTGCTTATCATGTAAGTGTACTCTAATTCCCCTTCACCTATTTCCCATTCCTCCACTCACCTATGCTCTGGCAGCCATCTGTTCTCTTCAGTTAAGAGTGTCTTTCTTGGGCGCCTGGGTGGCTCAATTGGTTAAGCGACTGCCTTCAGCTCAGGTCATGATCCCAGGGTCCTGGGATTGAGTCCCGCATCGGGCTCCCTGCGGGGAGCCTGCTTCTCCCTCTCCCACTCCCCCTGCTTGTGTTCCCTCTCTCGCTGTGTCTCTCTCTGTCAAATAAATAAATAAAATCTTTAAAAAAAAAAAGTGTCTTTCTTGGGGTGCCTGGGGGGCTCAGTTGTTTAAGCATCTGCCTTTGGCTCAGGTCATGATCCCAGATTCTGGGATTGAGTCCTGCGGTGGGCTCCCTGCTCAGCAGGCAGTCTGCTTCTCCCTCCCACTCTCCCTCTCTGTGCGCGCTCTCTCTCTCTCTCTCTCTAGTTCCCTCTGTCTCTTAAATAAGTAAAATCTTTTTAAAAAGAGTCTTAGTTTGTCTCTCTCTTTTTTCCTCTTTGCTCATTTGTTTCTTAAATTCCACATATTAGTGCAATCATACGGTATTTGTCTTCCCTGACTGGCTTATTGCACTTAGCATTATACACTCCAGTATAGTTAACATACAGTGTTATATTACTTTCAGTTGAAACTTTTTTCTTTTTTTTAATTGAAGTATAGTTGACACACAATGTTACATTAGTTGCAGGTGTACAACATAGTCATTTGACAAGTCTATACTTAGGCTCATCACAAGTGTGGCTGCCACCTGTCACCATACAACACTGTCACAGTACCATTGACTAGATTCCCTATGCTGTACCTTTTCATCCCTGGAAGCCTGTACTTCCCACTTGTCTTCACCCATTTTTCCCATCCTCCTACCTCCTCCTCTCGCACCCATTAGTTTGTTCTCTGTATGTATGGTTCTGTGTTTCAAAGTTGGGGTTTTCTGAGGCTCAGTCTATAGACTTCTCTTTTTATCCACAACTCTTCCTTTAATCTAATTTAGTATTGTGGCTTTAAATATCATCGGTATCCTGACGACTCTAATATATTTCTCCAGTTCAGATTTCTCACCTGAACTCCAGGCTCTTGATGTCTACCTTTCTACCCAGAAGCTCCACTTAGATGTCTAATAGGCACCTCAGATTTAGCGTATCTGAAACTGAGTTCCTGGTGTTACCACCCAATCTTGCTCCTCCCCCCAGTCATCTTTATCGTCGATGGTGGTGGCTCTGTTGTCCCACTTGTTCAGGCCAAGCATCTGGAGTCCCCTTGGATGCCTCTTATTCTTGTAATCCACGTCTAAGCCAACAGCAAATCTGTTTTCTCTACCTTTGGGATATATTTAGAATCTGACCACCTTTAAGCCCCTCCAGTGCTACTGCCCTGACTCAAGCTGACATCCTCTCATTCATAGCATTACTGCGGTTTGAGCAGGAACATGGCATCTGATGTGCTTAGAATCTCTGAAAAAGAAAAACCTTCAAGGTCCTCTAGGCCTATAGCTGTCACACTGCCCTCGGTTGGCCCCTTGCTATTCCTGGAAATGTCCCAGGGGTTACTGCAGGGGCTAGTGGGGAGTTGAATGGGAGGCATTTGGGTGACCTTCCCACCCACAGCCTCAAACTTAGCAGCTCGGCTTTTACCTGTTTTACGTATTTGGCTTCTGTAGTAGACTTATTTGAGAAACCGGTTCCACTGCTTCAAAAAATTTAAAAACCGTTGATAGAAATCAAGCCCAGCACCCCTGAGGCACCCCACTGGGTTTTTGAACATTGCTGTCAGAGATTTGTTCTTATATGCACTTGAGCTCTCTCTTCCTGCAGCAGTTACCCTTTGGTCGTAGGTGAGGGCCAACTAGCTGCCAGGCTCATCTCTTTTCTCACCTGGTGTGCTCACTGGTATCAGAAGGAAATCATCGTCCTCTAACACCTATTGCACAAGCCCACAGGAACCAGTGAAGCTCTGAAGGGCCTGGGTTGAACCTCTGTATGTTCAGCTAAGCAGCTGGCTTTGTTCTGAGAGGCTGTAGAGTGATGAAAGTCTCAGCATATTTTCTGTCTAGACCATCTTGAGGGTGGGGTCAGGGATGGCCCGGGGCAGGGTTGGGGGGCAGGAATTCTTTTAAGTCTGCTGTCACTTTTGGATAGGGACCCACCACAAGCCTGTAGTCCTGGGTCCTGAGAGGAGAAAACAGACTTGGGAGCATGTTACTAGAGTGGACAGGCTTCAGTGGCTGACTAGATACACAAGAGGCTAGCGGGGGAAGACTGAGGACTCCTGCTTTGAAGACCTTTCTTGAACACTCGGTGGGAGGTGCCATGAGGAGAGGCAGGGCTCCTGGGGGCTAGCAGCCTGTGGCCTGGGACATCACTTCTCAGCTGTTGTGAGACCAAATCCAAGTACTCATCCAAGTCCTTGAGCTGCTCTGGCAACTGCAGGGGTAGCAGGAACCCAGAAAGCCAGAGGAGCTAAGGACACAGCAGGAAGATTTTAGGCAACATATAATGATGGCTTAGTGAGGAATCCTAGGTCAGCCAGAAACATTGGCCATTTAGTAGTTTGAGACAGACTTGAAGCTCAGCTCTTTTCCAGGCTGTGAGGCAGAAATGAGAGCAGAGCCAGTGTCTTATACAAATAATTAACAGCTTCTTCATATTCTAGGACACACCTTATTTCTTTTGAGCCTCCCGTTCTGAGGAGAGGGAAGCTGATCCTGAGAAAGGCCAAGTCACACATATAAGTGGTAGAGCCAGAGTTGAATTCAGGTTGATGTGGCTCAACAGCTGGGTCTCCTGCAGTGATCTCCTGCGAGTAAATGTCCTCGGAACAGGAGGGACAGAGGCTGGAGTGCGTAGCCAGGTGAGAACCTGGTGAGATGGGAGGCCTTGTCACCACCATGTATTCTTGTCAGTGCAGCATCTTCAAACTCCCAAAATAACCAGCGTAGAATTTTACATTTCAGTAGAGAGCGTTCCTATCCTATTGCCTTTCACAACCCTCCCCACACCCTTGAGTAAATATTTACCTGCATGTTATGGGTAGGACAGTGGAAGCGTGGAGAGGGGAAGGGGTTTGGCTAAGGCCACCCAGTTAGCAGGCTGCAGTGCAAATCAGGGAACAGAACCCAGGGCTTTGAAATGTTAGGGCTCTTTGTTTCATGGGACACTCAGTGGAACTTGTTACTGATAGGGAAAGCTGGGCAGAAGATCCGTCTCGGTGGTTCCAGAATCTGCATTCTACTTCCATCAATGAGTGCCACATATGGAATCTAGCAACTCTGTTTCCTCCCCTTTTGACTGATATTACCATGATGGGAGGTTGCTAAAAATTAAATTTTTAGTAAATGTTTATCATTTTTAGAAAGAAGTTTTCCCGTTTCCAGAAGTTAGCCAAGATGAACTTAATGAAATCAATCAGTTTGTGGGACCTGTAGAAAAATTCTTCACTGAAGAGGGTATGTATGATCTTCTTTATCATTATTAATTTCCATTTTAAGGACAGTTGATATTTACATTAGAAGCAGTATACATAGGGGAAGCTCTCTTGAATGTCATTAATCATGTAGAAATAATATCTGTTGAAAATATTTTGCTTTAAGAATCATCGCACTTGCTTTGAAATTTAAGAAAGAAAACAGATGAACATTGTGGGAGGGAAGAAAAAATAAAATCAAACAAAATCAGGGAGACAAACCATAAGAGACTCTTAACTCTAGGAAACACACTGAGGGTTGCTGGAGGGGAGGTAGGTGGGGGTTTGGGGTAACTGGGTGATGGGCATTAAGGAGGGCACTTGATGTAATGAGCACTGGGTGTTAAGTACAACTGATGAATCACTGAATTCCACCTCTGAAACTAATACACTGTAGGTTAATTAAAGTGAATTTAAATAAAGAATTAAAAAGAAAGAATCATCCCAATTGCTATTTAATTAGAAGACACCTAGTTCAGTGTTTCTCAATGTATATGTGGTGAATGATTGCTTTTAAACATTTCCAGACTGTTGCAAACCAACACTTTTGTAAAATACAGTAAAATGAACAATTAGAAAAATGGAAGGAAAAAAAAAAGACCTACAAAATATAAATCCGTTGATCATGTGCTTGGTTGTGTGGCAATGTAAAATTGCTGTAAGTGTTTTTAAAGGTTTGCTCTCTCTGAGCTTGTTATGAACCAGGAATATCTAGCAGCCTGCAGACTGCAGGTCGAGGGCACCAGTTTAGCCTGAAGAGCCCTCCTTTAGACCGTTCAGCCAGTCCTTTGACAGGGCTGCATCTTGGCCAAGGGAACTCTCTGGGGAGTTCAGTGATGACTGACTGACAATAGTATTTCTCTAGCACTGAGGACCCCAAAGGGTTTTTTTTTTTTTTTTAAAGATTTTATTTATTTGACAGAGATATAGCGAGAGGGAACACAAGCAGGGGGAGTGGGAGAGGGAGAAGCAGGCTTCCCACTGAGCAGGGAGCCCGATGCGGGGCTTGATCCCAGGACCCTGGGATCATGACCTGAGCCGAAGGCAGATGCCTAACGACTGAGCCACCCAGGCACCCCCACAGGATCTTCTTTATGTGGGTTTTATTTATGAATATGTGCCCTGCCAGAAGATTAAAACTGAGAAATTTTAAAAATACTATGTTCATTTATTACTTTATTTAAAAATCATGAAAGCCCAGTACATGTTAACAGAAACAATATTTTAAATGAGAAATAATATTTATTCACAAACAAAAAAAATGAGTATGGTTTTACAGTTTTGCAGATCTTTTTAATATTCAGCTTATTATTATATGCAACAACAGATATCAGAATCTAGCCAGAACCAGGTAGAATCCAGCTGGATTCTCATAACTTTCTGCATTTAATCTGTGATATATTTCTTACAGTTCCAGGAAAACCCCATTGTACACTCATGATAGAATTAGAATTAAAAAGGCAAAGAATATTTTACTACTATTAAAATAGCTTTGGCCCTGTGAACCCCCTTGAAGTATTTCTGTCCGTGTGCACCCCCCTCCCCACACTAACTCTTGTTCTGTTGCTGGTTTTAAAAGTCCCTTTCTTGTATGGGGCACCTGGGTGGCTCAGTTGGTTAAGCAACTGCCTTTGGCTCAGGTCATGATCCTGGAGTCCCGGGATCGAGTCCCACATCGGGCTCCCTGCTCAGCGGGGAGTCTGCTTCTCCCTCTGATCCTACCCCTCTCATGCTCTCTGTCTCCCATTCTCTCTCTCAGATAAATAAATAAAAAATCTAAAAAAAAAAAAAAAAAGTCCCTTTCTTGTGTATAAATATCTTTTATTTAGAAATATTTCTGTTTTTGTTCTAGTGGTTATCTTCCTACTTGTATCTTTTTTTAGTTCCTTGTTCTTTTACTTAAACTTTTACTCTCTGATTTGTCAGCGTTTTCATAAACTTTACAGAGGTATAATTGATTATTGCACCTATTCAAAGTATAGTGTTTAATAAATTTTGATATATATATACCCCCATGTTGATGAACACATTGTTATGCTAGTAGTCTTTTGGACCCATATATTAGGTACAAATTTTCTAGGCAGTTACATGCTTTATTTATTTTTTATTTTTTTAAAAGATTTTATTTATTTATTTGACAGAGACACAGCGAGAGAGGGAACACAAGCAGGGGGAGAAGAGGGAGAAGCAGGCTTCATGCAGAGCAGGGAGCCCGATGTGGGGCTCAATCCCAGGACTCTGGGATCATGACCTGAGCCGAAGGCAGACGCTTAACGACTGAGCCACCCAGGCGCCCCTTACATGCGTTATATATAAATTATTTTAAATTCCTCTGGCTAATTTGTTGAAATAGTTCTAGTATTTCCACCTTATTGGAATTAAATATATCCAAAATTTATATTCTGAGTCAAAAGTAGAAATTTTCCCCAAATGGTATAGATTGTCCTCATCAATCTTGTCTCCCAGTGTTTGTTTATGAGACTTCTGTTTTCTTAAACAGTACAAACATTACATGTCAATGTTTAAATATTTGACAGTGTGGTATTACAAAAAAAATTGCTTTTCTTACTGTTCAGTTTAGTCATCTTCGTATGTCCTTAAACATTATTAATCGTTATTTCATTTTCCTCTGTGTTTTTTTTTTTTTTCATTTCCCTTAGAATATTAGTGTTTTTGTTACTGGCTTCTAAGAGATCATTTATGATTAAGGATGTTAACTATTTGCCATGCATTGCAAATGAAATACCATGTGCTCTCATTTTACTGTGATGTTTTACTTTTTGGTTGTATAGAAGTTGCGTATTCAAATATAATAATGTTCTGCTTTAAAAAATATAGGTACCCCCAAGGGGCCATCAATACAAGATAATAAACATATCCATTACCCCTAAATGCTTTCTCAGGCCCTTCTCATCCCCTTCTCATCCCCACCTGTCCCCAGGCAACCACTGATCAGCTCTGTGTCACTGTAAATTAGTTTGTATTTCCTGGAATTCTATTTAAATAGAATTCTACATTACATATGTTTTTGCATAGCTGCTTCTGGTATAATTTTGAGTTTATCCATGTTGCATGTACTAATAGTTCATTCCCTTTTTTTTAGCGGGGGAGGGGCAGAGGGAGAGAGAGAATCTTAAGCAGGCTCCACGCCCAGCATGGAGCCCAACATGCGGTCAGTCTCACAATCCTGAGATCCTGACCTGAGCCGAAATCAAGAGTCAGATGCTTAACTGACTAAGCCACCCAGGCACTCCTAGTTCATTCCTTTTTAACACTGAGTAGTATTTCTTTGTCTGGATGTACCACAGTTTGTTTATTCGCTTACCTATTAATTGACATTCAGTATGTATCCAGATCTTAGCTATCGCAAAAGATACTGTGAATATTTTTCTATGAGTCTGGTGTAGACAGGCATATACTCACATTTCTCTTGGGGAGGTATGAAGGAGTGGAATTCTAAGATAGGTTCATGTTTAACTTTTTAAGTAACTGCCAAACTGTTTCCCAAAGTGGTTACCACTTTACATTCCCACCAGTTATTAAAGTTCCAGTTACTCCAAGTCTCATTCTAATGGGTGTGTTGTGGTATCTCATTGTGGTTATAATTTTCATTTCCCTAATAACTAATAATGTAGGCATCTTACCATGTGCTTATTTGCCATCTTCTTTAGTGAAATGTCCTTCAAATATTTTATGCATTAAAAAAATGGGATTGTCTTAACTATTGTTGAGCTATAGGAAGTCTTTATTGTAGATACAAGTCTTCTCTCCAGTATGTTTAGCAAAAATTTTCTCCTAGTCTGTGGCTTGATTTTTTTCATTTTATTAGCAAAAGTTTTTAATGTTAAGTGCAATTTTTTCTTCTCTGGTTCTCTTTTTTGTATTTTATGTAAGAAATCTGCTGAACTTAAGGTCAGGATGATTTTTGTCTCATTTTCCTTTAGAAGGTTCATATTTTTAACTGTTAACATTCAGATTTATGACCCCTTTCCAGTTAATTTTACATATGACATGAGGTAAAATTTCAGGATTTTTTGCATATGACTATCCAATTGCTCCAGCAACATTTGTTGAAAAGATTATCCTTTCCCCATTTAATGCACTTGGTACCTTTGCCAAAAATAAATTTACCAGAAGATTGTGGGACAGTAGCAGAGTAGGAAGCACCAGGAGTCTGTCTCCCCACCTGGACAACAACTGCAATGGCAGAATCTATGTAATGTAACTGTTTTTGGAACTCAAGTCTGTTGAAGGCTTGCAGTTTCCAGGGGAGCATGGATAGTAAATTGCAGTTAATTTTGGTCAGTTAGCTCTGAGCACAGTAGCAGCTACCCATCTCCCACCTTCAGCCGGAAAGCAGGCAGCTGTGCACTTATTCCTGGAGCAGCTAGCATTTGGCTTGTGGGAGCCAGAGTAGCAAAAAAAAAAAAAAAAAAAAAAAAGACCTTGTCCATCAAATATTAGGGGTCTGTGTTCTGATTACTGTTTCTGATCACAGAGGTACAGACCAAGAGGCAGAGGCGATTTTTCTACCTTCTCTTATTGTTGCAAGCCCTTACCCTTGTGGCCAAAGTGACTTCCAACAGATTTAAGATGCTGAGCCCTTTTTTGTCCCCCCCTTTCATTTTTTTTTTCCTCTTTTGGGAGCCAGATTGAAGACAAGGACATTCAAAGCAACCACATATACAGGGGGAATTATAAAGTCACCACACATGCCCAGGGAAAGGCATAGACTCAGGAAAGACCTAAGAAGACCTTAGGTTTATACGTGGGGCAGATCCTTGGCACAGATACAGCCAACAGCAATTCAAAACAAAACAAAACAAACATGAAAAGTATAGTCAACAAAAGCAAAAATCAACATGTGGGACTATAGCAAACTTAGAAACTTATGCACAGCAAAAGAAACCGTCACCTAAGGGAATGGGAGAAAATATTTGTAAAAACCATATATCAGATATGGGATTAATATCTAATACAAAG